GGCCACATAGTGATACCCTATCTTAAAAAAACAAAACAACCCCCCCAAAAAACAACAAAAAAAGGTATTTCAGAATTTCCTTTCTTTTTTTCATTCATTTAAGAATGTTTTTATTTTGTGTGTATGAGTATTTTGCCTTCACGTATATCTGCATAATGAGTATGCCTGGTGCTAGCAGAAGCAGGAGAATGTTGGACCCCTGGAACTGGAGTTACAGATGGTTGTGAACTGCCATGTGGATGCTGAAAACTGAACCTGGGTCTTCTGCAAGACCAGCAGGTGTTATGATAAAGCCCGAGGGGGACCTTGCGTCGGGGACCTTGGCGGATTTCATGGTAGGCGATGGTGATCAAGGCGGAGGGACAAACATGCTAGGCAACAGAGCTTAAATAAGAAGTTATATTAGAAAGGGTAGGAAGAGGGAAGAAAAGAGAGAAGAGGTAAAGACACACACACACACACACACACACACACACACACACACACACACACACGGGGCGGGGGGAGGGGAGACAGAAGAGGAAAAGTCCTGTCTATCCCAGGGGAACAGTCAGAAAGACATGATGGGGTTGGGGGAGAGAGGAGCTGGAATGAGAAGGGTAGGGAAAGAGAGGTACAGGCAAAGAGAAGAGAGCGTAAGTGGGCGGGTCTGTCTTTTAAAGGGGCCCTTTGTACCCGAGTGCAGACTATGCAACCTTGGAACCCTGGGCTGACCTGGGTACTGCCTGAGTGCATTCTGCCAGGTGACTGGGCCAGGCCAGCATAATGCCTGAATCCTTACAGCAGGTGCGTTCAATCTCTGAGATACCTCTTTAGCTCCCCCCCCCCCCCCCCCCGCCTTTTAAATTCTTAAACATACTTTTCCTGAAACAGATTTGTAATTCCTTGAAATTCACACTTTTAAAACATACAGCTCAGTAGTTTTGTAGTAAATCCTAACTGAAAGTTGTACAACTACCACCACCACTATCAAATTCCAGAGCATTCTATCATCTCAAAAAGATACCATGTTCCTATTACTCATTCCTTGTCTCCCCTTGTGCCTGGAAACCACTTATCTATTCCTGTCTATATAGATTTGCCAGTTCCAGATGCTTCATGTCAGTGGAATCAAATGACACATGAAATAACACATAGCCTTTTGTGTTTGGTTTCTTTTCCTGAGCATAATGTTGTTGTGTAGGTCATCCATCTTATAGCATGTACCAATATTTTATTTTTTTATGGCACATACTGATCTACTATATACATATGCTGCATTTTTGTCATTTTGTTTATCCATTCATCAATAGATGGACATTTGAGTTGTTTCTACTTTTTATTTATTATGACTAATGCTGTGATGAACACTCATGCACAATCTTTTTTGATAGAGATTTACATTTTTACTGGACTTGTGCCTAAGGGTAGAACACTGAGTCTTGTTGTAGCTCCATGTTAACCTTTTGAGGGACTGCCAAACTGTTTTTCAGAGTGGCTCAATGATTTTATATTCCCACCAGCAATGCAAGTGATGTTTTCCTAGTCTTGACAGTACTTGCTAATCTCTCTCTCTCTCTCTCTCTCTCTCTCTCTCTCTCTCTTTCTCTCTCTCTCTCTGTGTGTGTGTGTGTGTGTGTGTGTGCGCGTGCGCGCGCGCGCGCGCTCATACACTGAGTAGCAGGGAGATGTTTGGGGGTTGAATCCAGGGCCTTACACATAGTACGTAAGCACTCTGCTATTGAGCTACATTTTTATTTATTCAGCTGTATTATCTTAATACATCTGAAATAGTGTCTTTTTGTGATTTTGGTTTTTATCATCTTAATGAGTAGTGATAGTAAATATATTTCATGTTGTTACTGGCTATATGTATACTATACTATACATATACAAACATATGCTTTGGAGGAAAATTTTATTCTAATCCTTTTGCTGTTTTGTCTTTTATTGTTTGATCATAGGAAGTTATTATATATTCAAATATATGCTTTGCAAATATTTTTCTAACTTTGTAGATTGTCTTTATTTTATTATGTTCTTTAAAGTACAGACATTTTAAATTTTTATGAATCCTGTCTACAAAACCAGATATCCTTATATTGTTCTTGTTCATTTTCTTAAAGGAAAATTCTAAGCTTTTTGCAATTCAGTACTTTGTTAATTACTTTCATTCTTGCTGTGGCCAAAATAGCTGACAAGTAACAACTTTACCAAAGGAAAGACTTATTTTGGCTTTTGGTTTGAGAAGATTCTGTACATCATGGTGGGGAAGGTCTCTCATATGGAGACAGCTAGGCTCCATATGTGGTGGCAGGACCTTATAGGATATATTCATTTTCACATGGCATTGACCAGAAAGCAAAGCTGTACTGTGATCCTCAAGCCCCATCTCACAATGACTCTCTTCCTTCAGCTAGGCTCTACCTCCTAAAGTTTTCACAAATTCATCCTAATAGTACCACAGCTGGGGACTAAACATTCCAACACAAGAGCCTGTGGGTAGCATTTCATATGCTATCAGTAGTGAATTTTTCATAGAGTCCCTCTATTAGGCTGAAATTCCTGCTTATCCTTAGTTTGTTGAGAATTTTATTATGAGAAGGTATTGGACTTTATCAAATACTTTTCTTGCATTTATTAAGATGATCCTATTATTTTTTTCCTTCATCCCATCAATATAGTTTATTACGTTGAATGATTTTTTTTTAACATATCAAATCAACCCTGTATTCCTAGGATAAACCCTTTTTGGTTATGATGCATAATTCCTCTTGTGTATTTGGTAGAATTTTATTGAACATTTACATGTTCTTATTCCTAAGGACTGTTGATTTATGGTTTTACTTTCCTGTGAAATATTTGCCTTGTTTCAACATGAAGATAATATTGCATTTGTAAAATGAATTAGTAGTATGTCTTCTTCTCTATTGTTCTCTGAAAAGTTTTGGGTATTTATTCTTTAAATTTTTGGTAAAATTTACCAATAAACAATCTGGTCCTGAGCTTTTTATTTTGTGAGAAAATTTCTGATCACTAATTTGGTCTCCTTACTCTTGAAAGGTTTATGCATATTTTTATCTTGTGTCAGTTGGGAAGTTTATCTGCTTTGAGGAATTGCCCATTTATTCATCATACCTCATTAGTTGCTAACATCCTTTTTGATAGTAATGTGATGAAAAAAATGATTCAGTTCTCCCTGTGGGCATTTGACTAAGATCAGAGCAGTGTCCAATACTGTTAAGGTACTATTAATGTTAATCAATACCATTTTAATGCTCATTGTTTTTCATTAAAAACAGATGTTGAGGGCTGATTTGACTACCTAGTTGACAGGTGTTGGACCATTCTTTGGTATGGTGCCCCTCTGCCTTGAATGGAGGGTGTTCAGCAAAGAGGGTCCTTTTTAACAGCTGCTCAGACCTACAGCTGCTTTGGACACTCTATGGATGTGTTCAGTAAGCTACCCAGTGTGTGGCTCCAGAAGGCACTACAATTGTTCAAATAGCTTGGGCCAGGCCTTTTGCATTGCCAACCTCAGTGCACTTTTAGTTTTCCAGGGTGACCCAGCAGAAGACCTATATGGGGACTAACTACAACCCTCTATTTGCATGAAGGGGTGTGGAGTGACTGGTGCAAAACTCCCCTGCCACATACACCCTTACTGGCTACATAAGCAGACTTTTGACTTCCTTTTCAAGCCATTCTGGGACTACCATCTTAATGCTGTCTCCTGGTGGTGTATAATAGCTCCATTGTAAAGATTTTCTCAAGTGGTCTTGTTTCCTTTTGAACTTTGTAATTAGTAGAGCAGGCTGAGTTGGTAACATAGAAACAGAGGCAGCAGATCAGTAACTGTGGCAAAGGCAGCATGGAAAATGGTGGTAGTTATGTCTGTAAGAGTAGTGGTGGTAGCAGGAGGGGTTGTAGTGATATCTTGTTTATACTCTAACAAATAAAGCTTTCCCGAAGATCAGAGAGAGGAAGGAGCAAGCCATAGCCACACCTTACCTTGCTAGCTTCCCAGCCAAAAAGAGTGAAGATTCCTTGAGTACCCAGGATAATAGGAGAAACTTTATTTGCTTCTTCAAGGTTCTTTAGGACATTACCAATATGAAAACATTTAAAATTGTATTAATAGTTGGAAGTTTTTTTCACTTAACAAATGTATCTGAAATTAAGATTAAGATAAATGTTTGCTGGAGACTGGGAGAAGGGAATGTGGCAACAGAGGGGCCTGTGATAATGGTAGGATTCTGCATTTTGATTATGATCATAGTAACAATAAATGTGCACAGAAGTATGTATATATATAAATAAATCCATATATTACTGGTAAATTTTCTATTAAACTATGGATTGTAACCAATATCAGATATACATCTTAAATATTGTACCATTGTTATACAAAATGTTAGTACTGGAGATGACTGAATCAATGGTCCACAGGACTTCCCTGTATTTATCTTTGCAAGTGCTTTTGAACTTAAATTATCTCAGATTGAAAAATTGAAAAAAAATTCTTATAACCTGACTCATATACTTTATCAGTTGAGATGTTTAAGTGCCTGGGTTTTTAATAAAAGGCCAAAGGCCTCCTCTAATTTTATAGAGTCAAAAGTTTGCTAATTAGTGTGAACACTATCTCTGAAAAGTAGCTTCATGTGAAAGCAAAGTTTAGAAAGACAATGTGTGGCACCAGGCTTCAGGTGAAGGGTCAAGCCTTGCCTGCAGTTTTAGTGACCCAGCCTTCACAAGTTTGGTGTGTAGGGGCAGAAAGTGTGGTCTTAAAGGGTACTCAGGTACCAGAAAAACGCCTCAAGCCATGAGAAGTAGAATAGAGCTATTGCTGCTGAATGTCTTTCTATAAATATTGGAGTATGATGGATAGCAACATTGTTATTTAGTGTTGAACATGGAGGATTATGGGATAATGTTTTTATGGTAACTGTGGTTTTTCTAGAAAAACATAGATGAGTAATCTTTTTAAAGTTAAAACTCCTTTTGAATTGCAGGAAATGAAATAAATATTAATATGGAGGATAGTTTTGACACCAAATCATCATCATCTACCTTCACTCTTCAGAGTTCTTCAGAGACAATGACTTCTATTCAGCTCCTGGATTTCAGAACAAGTTTACTTGAAGCACTAGAAGAGCTGCGCATGAGAAGGGTGAGCCCCTTTTAAGCTTTTTAAGCTTTTAGATAGAAAGCCTTGATTTTTTTTTCCATTTTTTGAGAAGTCTAAACAACCTCTTATTTATAAAGAAAAAAATGTAGCTTTGTGGAGTTGGTTCTCTTCTTCCTCTCTACTTGGGTTCTGGAGATCAATCTCAGTTCAGTAGGTGTGCATGGCTAATACCTATGCACTGGGCCATCTCCATAGCTCAGTGAGAGAGACGGGGAGAGAGAGAAGAGGGGGGAGAGAGGGAAGAGGGGGAGACAGAGGAGAGAGAGAGGAGAGAGAGAGGAGAGGGAAGAGGGGGAGACAGAGGAGAGAGAGAGGAGAGGAAAGAGAGAGAGAGAGAGAGAGAGAGAGGAGAGAGAGAGAGAGAGAGAGAGAGAGAGAGAGAGAGAGAGAGAAAGGGGAGAGAGAGGGGAGAGAGAGGGGAAAGAGAGAGGGGGAAAGAGGAGAGAGGGTGGAAACAGAGAGGAGAGTTTGAGCTTAAAAATTATAAAAGGTTTTAGCAGGTGTGTTGGCTAGTTTTTAATGTCCACTTGACACCCCTAAGGTCATCTGAGAATTGGCATCTTAATTGAGATTGGCCTGTAGGCAGATCTGTAGGGCATTTTCTTGATAGACGTAGGAGGCCCAGCTCACCTTGGGGGATGTCACCCCTCAGCAGATAGTTCTGGATGGTTTAAGAATCTGAGCAAGCTACAGAGAGCAGGGAGGTAAACATCTGTCCTTCATGGCTTCTACCCTAGTTCCTGCTTCCAGGTTCCTGCCATTATGTCTTGCCTTGACTTCTCTTGACTACAGGCTATACAATTAAATGAACTCTTTCCTAAAGTTGCTTTTGGTCATGGTATTTGTGCTGGCTAATTTTATGTCACATTGACACAAACTAGAGTCATCTGAGAAGAGGGAACTTCAGTTGAGAAAATGTTTTCATAGAATCCAGCTGTAGGCAAGCCTGTAGGACATTTTTTAAATTAGTGATTGATACAGGAAAGCCCAGCCTATTGTGTGTGGTGCCATCCCTGGGCTGATGATCCTGGGTTCTATAAGAATGCAAGCTGAATTCAGGACTTTTGTAAAAGCTGCCAGTGCTCTTAACCTCTGAGCCATATCTCCAGTGCCTAATAAGTATTCTTTTTGTTGTTGTTGTTTTGAGGATAGTGTTTCTCTGTGTTACAGTCCTAGCTGTCCTGGAACTCTCTTTGTAGACCAGGTTGGCTTCAAACTCACAGAGATCTTCCTACCTCTGACTCCTGAGTGCTAGGATTAAAGATGTGTGCCACCACCACCACTACCTGGCTAGTATTTCTTTAACATTTGCAAAATCTTATATTCTAGACAAGGAAGGCAACATTCCTGTTCTGAAAATAAAGTACAAGTGAGAAACATTATAAACTTTGTTCTAAGTTTTAAAATTATTGAGGGCTGGAGAGATGGCTCAGTGGTTAAGAGCACTGCCTGCTCTACTAAAGGTGGTCCTGAATTCAATTCCCAGCAACCACATGGTGGCTCACAACCATGTGTAATGAGATTTGGTGCCCTCTTATGGCCTGCAGGAATACATGCAGACAGAACACAGTATATATAATAAATAAATAAATCTTTAGAAAATTATTGAAATTCACTATTATAAATTTCATGCTATGTAAGCTACCTGTTAGTGTAATATTTTATATAAAATGTATATAAAGGTTATCTATTAGTGTAACAAAAATGTGTTTAAAGAAGAAAACCTGGAAATGGCTTGAGTAAGCTCTCTACAGAAATATTTTGATAAATTTAAAATGTTACCTTTCCTAAGTGACACAATTTCAAGACACTAAAACTTCATGTTTTATGTTTCAAACATTATATTTTGTTTGCTATTTTAAGCTTGAAATTCATGACTCTTTAAATGTATTCTGAGGGGCTGGAGCACTGGGTTTAATTCCCAACACCCATTAACAGCACATGTGATAACTAAAGCAGTTAATCCCAGGGAGTTAGAGTCAACAGATCAGAAGTTCAAGGTCATCCTTGGCTACATAGTGAGTTTGAGGCTAGCTTAGTTTGCATAAGATCCTGTCTCAAACAAAGAAAATTTTGCTATATTTAAAGGATAGTAAAAGAACAGTGCATGTATTTATTCAGTGTGTGTGTGTGTGTGTGTGTGTGTGTGTGTGTGTGTGTGTGTGTATGTGCATAGGTGTGTATTTATGCATATCACTTGTTTATATGTGTGTGTGTGCATATGTGTAGGGGCCAGAGGTCAAACTTAATTTTTTAAAAGTATGTGTGTACAAACATATTTTTTGAGATGGTTCATAGAGATTGCCTGCCTCCTAAATGTTGAGATTAAAAATGTGCAATACCATGCCCAGTTTTAATATATATTTTTGTTAATTCTTTGAGAATTTAATAACTTTACTAAAAAATGTATTTGTTATTTTATTTTACATGTATGAATATTTGCTTGCAACATGTGTGTACATGTATGCCTGGTGTCCCCAGCAAAGAAGGAATCAGATCCCCAGAACTGGAGTGAGACACCTGTGACCAACCATATGGGTACTGGGAATTGAACCTAGGTCCCTTGGAAGAGTAACCAGTGCTCTTAACTGCTGAGCCGTTTCTCTAGTCCCTCTATATATGCTTGTATGTTTGGCCATCAACTGGAGTGTGTCCTATTTATGAGAAGCCATACCACTAAGGAAAACTTTGCCTCTCCTGGAGGCTATAGCTCCTCATCTAGGGGTGGGATTTCATGACTACTACCCTTTATATGTTGGGTTTTTGTCAAGCTTCAGCTTGTATATGATTTTACAACCACTGTGAATTCTTTTGTACAACCACCTTGTTATGTCTGGAAAACAGTTTTGCTGTAGTCATCTACTGCCTCTGGCTCTTATAGTCTTTCCTTTTCATTTTCTGTGTTATAGATGTCCCATTTAGGTCTGAGTACTCTGAAGTGTAGGCTGAAGTTTCTGTCCTACAAGCCACTTCCAAGTAATAAAACAGAGACTTAATATTAATTATAAATGCTTTGTCAGTAGCACAGGCTTGTTACTGGCTAACTCTTACATTTTCAATTAACACATTTTTTTTTTATCTATGCTTTGCCATGTGGCTTGGTACCTTTTCTCAGCACAGCATATCCATCTGCTTCTCTCTGCATCTGGTCCTACTCCTCTGACTCTGCCCTTCTTCTTCCCAGCATTTTCTGTTTGGATCTCCCCCTAACCTTATCCTGTCCAGCTATTGGCCAGTCAGCTTCTTTATTAAACCAAACACAGAGATATATTTCCACTGTAAGGAATATTCCACACTGTGGTCTCATATTCTCTGCACCTTGTCAACTGTGGGTCTCATGTTAATTGCCATCTATTATAAAAAAGAAGCCTCCCTAATGACATTTGAGAGATGCACTAATCTATGGGTATAACAATAAATCATTAGGTTTAATACTATGTTCTGTTTGCAGATTAATAGCAGTAGGTTGTCCCCTATGGCACATGACCTAGCCATGTATTCCTGGCCTCAATAATGGTGCCAGGTATGGGTTCCATCTTGGGAACTGGCCTGAAACCCTAGAAAGGGGTTGGTTACCCCCATGACATTCATACCACTATTATACTGGTGGGTATGTTTTGTCAGGTTGGTCATTATTGTAGCTCATAGGTTTCATATCTGGGTAAAACTGATGCTTACTTTTCCCTTCTGGTAGTGTTCTTACCACTTCCAGCTCTATGAAAGGTTGTCATGGTCTAGACATGGGATGAAGATTTTGGGTCAATAGCAGTTTGATTTCTTCATGTTCTGTGACTCAAGTATGTGGCATCTTCAGCAACAGGGTCTTGCCATTGAGTTCTGGAGATTAACTAAGAGCAAACACTGCAATATTTGGTGGACTCTATGGGACTTCACTGGCCACCAACTACAATAGAAGTATCCCATTTCTGACAATTGAATTTTTGTTGGCCTGTGATTTCTAGTTGAAGCATCGTTGCCCTGCTATAGGGTAACTCCATAAACTCTTTTACATATGCATATGTTTATATTTAGAATGTTTTTTTGCAGAAGCAGTTTTCATAAGTCTTTAGTCTTAGTTATCCCTCCCTGTATCTCCTACTCTACCCTGCCTTCCCATCTCCCAACCTGTTTAATCCTTCCTGCTCTATTATTCCATTTTCTCCTTTATCTCACTGTTGTTCTTTCTTCCTTTCCCTGAGATCTCTGTGGGTATTTTGAATGAAACACATGAACTTATTTATTTTTCTTGTCACAGGTGGTGCTGTAGGCCTTTATTTATTTTTAAATATTTTATACAATACATTTTGGTCATATTCATTTCCTTCCCCCAAATCCTCCTATTCTGTACAGATCCAACTTCATATTATTTCTCTTTTAAAAAGAAACACAAAATCAAAACAAAAAATACACACACACCCCTTACAAAAAAGAAAGAAAAGTAAAAATGTGGAATCCATTTTGTGTTGGCCAACTATTTCTGAGCATGTGGTCTACCTTTGGGTATGGTTGATTATACCTGGTATCTTTGCATTGAAGAAAGATGATTTTTCCCTCTCCCAGGAGCTATCAATTATAGATAGCTTCTTGATTAGGGATGGGATCTTGTGCCCATTTCCTCTTCCACATGTTGGGATTCTGTCTGGGTTGCACTTGTGCAGATTCTGTGCAGTCTGTTATAGTCTCTGAGGTCATATGTATGCCAGCCTTGCTGTGCCTGGAAAACACTGTTTCCTGAATCTGTTATCTCTGGCTCTCACAATTTTTCCAGCCTCTTCCACATGGATCTCTGAGTCTTGAGGGGAGGAAGAAGCACACACTTAAAATTCAAATCTAGCACCCACAGATAATTTATTTTTCAGTTTTTAGTGACTAGTCTCACAATGTAGCTCTAACTGGCTTAGCACTTGTTATGTAGACCAGGCTGGCCTCTGTCTTGAAGGGATCCACTTGCCTGTGTCTCTCCAGTTCTGGGATTAAAAGTATGCACTACTGTGCTGGGCTAAATTGGTAATGATAAAATTTGAAAACAATAGGATGCTTTAAGTAAGTAAAGATATAAAAATTTAATAATCTGAATCAACAAAATAGTTCATATTAATCCATACTATTTGCATTTTAAAATTTTAACTCCTTTTCTTATTTACTTATTTTGAGGCTGTCTCCTGTGCTCCAGGCTTGAACTTGTAAAGGAAAGAATGGCCTTGAATTCCTGATCCTCCTGCCTCCATCTCTGAAGCGCTAGATTCTAGATGTGCACCACCAGTCCATGCTGGAGCTTGACCTCAGAGGGTTTCATTTATGCTAGGCAAGCTTTCTGTCAACCCCTCCAAAGTCCTAGATTAGATTTTGATAAATAACCTTTCAGACAGATCCATGGAATTACTTACTAGTAAGGAGAAGAGATGATCAATAATAGCACAGGGGTCACAAATGAAGGATTTGAGAGGTTGGCATGTGACTTGAGTAGGGTAGGAATTATGTTGAACTTTAGAACCTATATTGTATTGCATTGAAAACAACACAGAAATTCCTATTTCAATATGAAATCTATGGATTCTAAAAATTAGAAGGGGTTGAAAGTTTTTAAAAAAGATATATTTTTGATTCAAGTCAGTTGAATAAGGAGGATGAAAGACCTTTACCATGAGGCTTTAGAACATTAAAATATGCATTTACTTGATGTCCTTTTATAAACCATTTCTGAGTCTGTACTTTAAGAAGATTCAAGTTTTATAGGTACAACATGCCATGCTAGTTAACAACTGTGTTACTACATGCATTATGCATTATGATAAATGAATTATGATATGCATTATGCATTATGATAAAATTATAAATAAAAATTACTTTAAAAATCTGTTAAGTATCCAAATAGTAATGTCATTGGGTTCTATGTGAACAATAAATATAATTCAGTGGAATTTTGGATAGTCTGAAGTAACAATGATTTGCTAAGGAAACTGAGAGAAGTGTAGTGTAATCTGTAGCAAATAATTTTACATCACCTTTTGGTGCCTAAAGAAATCAGTGCATTACTATTGATTGGATTATTACAATCTGTAGAATACATACCTTTATTTTATATGGAATCTAATAAAGGGATACTAGCCACACTGCTGAAAGTAGCATTGTTACATACTTACACTTTCTTGGCATTTTAGCTTCAAGTTTTCTTTTAAACTTATTTTTAATCTTTATTATTTAGCTTTTATGTTTTTCTTCACTCCATCAAGCAACTTTAAAAAGTTTTAATAAAAATTCCTATGAGATTGCCAGTGAAAGAAAATAAATTTAGCCAGAAAAATTCTATCTCCAAGTTCAATAAAGTATCCCAGAATATAGAATCCTAAGAGTGCTTATTTTTTATTAGCTGCCTTAGGACTACAAGGATTTAAGTGTTTTTATAAAAACAATAAAGGAGGAGTAATTTGATGGTTTATTTACTCTTTATAACCTTTAGAAAGTGTCGGGCATTTTTTTAAATGCTTGCTTCAGGCTGTAGTTTTACAAGATGGGCTGTGTATTGGTCAGAGCCTTTCAATTCTTGACCCTGAACAGATTTAGGGACCTAGCACATACAGCAGGCATGTGTTCAGGAAAACTGTAACTAGCTACTTTTACTCTCCTTTCAAATTTATAATCTGCCTATCTAAAATTGCTCAATTTCTCTGTGTTGTTTCATAAAATACTATGCAATTTTGTGTATATTTGCTTAGTCTAATTGGCCAAAAGTTGCTCAAGATAAATATCTCTAAATATTGGTGAAATGATCCAAAAGTTTATTTTTAAAATAGTATTAAAGAGGCTGTTTTTGTATTAACAAATTATTAGGAAAGTTTCTGATATGGAAACTATTAAGACATTCCTATTATTTAAACTATTTATTGTTGCTTTTAATTATGTGCATATGTGTGTGTCTCTTTGTGAATATGTCCATGTGAGTGCAGGTGCCAGTGGAGTCGAGAGGCATCGGATGCCCCTGGAGATGGAGCTACAGGCAGTTGTGAGCTGCTTGATGTGGGTGCTGGGAATTGGAACTCATGTCCTCTTAACCATTGTGCCATGTTTCAGCTCTCACCTCAGTTCTTAATTTTATGTTTTTCCATACAGCAACTATTTCTAATTTTTATTTGAAAATGTTCTTTCAAAATCAGAATATACTTATATATAGGCAAAAGGTCTTTAAAATGTGTGTGTGCAAACATGTGTCATGAAGTCACAGATCAGCTGGGCAGTGGTGGCACATGCCTTTAATCCCAGTACCCGGGAGCAGAGACAGGTGGATCTCTGTGAGTTCAGGGCCAGCCTGGTCTACTGAGCAAGTTCCAGGACAGCCTCCAAAGCTACAGAGAAACCCTGTCTCAAAAAAAAAAAGTCAGAGGTCAACTTTTGATAGGCTGCTCTCCCCTTCTATCATGTGGGTCATAGGGATTAAACTCAGGTCACCACACTTGTTCTGTAAGTGTCTTTACCCACTGAGCCATCTCACTGGCACTGATAAAGGGTTTTCTGACTTGTGTGGGCTATAAAGGATATGAAGGGTTTTTTGAAGCAGTGTATCATAACAATACCCATGTCTTATCATATCCACAAGCTCATAAAGATAACATAATTCAGTATTTAAGAAACTGTGGAGATAGATAATTTGGGGTCATGTACAAGCTCTAAACTTAAGAATGCCTGTAATCTCAGTTACTTGGGTGGCTGAGCCAAGAGTTCTAGACCAACCTGGGCAGTATAGCAAGATCTTACCTCAACTATAAAACAAGCAGACAAAACACTGGCTCACAGTGGACCTGCTGTGTAATGTTGAGTGTCATGGCTAGCTTCAGCTGTCAACCTGACACAAACCTAGAGTCACCTGGGAAGAGGGAACCTCAACAAATTGCCCAGAGTGATCACATTGGCCTGTGACCATGTCTGTGAGACATTTTCTTGATTGCTAACTGAAGTAAGAGAGTTTGCTCTACTATGGGCAGTGCCATTCGTGTGTTTGTAGACCTGGGCTGAATAAGAATGGTGGCGAACAAATGAGTAAGCAGCATTCCTCCATGGTCTCTGCTTCAGTTTCTGCCTTGAGATCCTACCTTGACTTTCCTTGATGATAGACTAACCTGTAAGGCAAATAAACCCCTTCCTCCCTGTGGTTAGTGTTTTGTAAGCTTGACACAAACTAGGGTTGACTGGGAAGAGGGAAGAGGAAAGAAGTTTCCCATATCAGATGGCCTGCGGACATATCTGTGGGACATTCTCTTGATGATTGATTTGGGAGTACCAGGCCCACTGTGGGTGCTGTCATCCTGGAAAGGTGGTCTTGGGCTAAGAAAGCAAGCTAAGCGAGCCAATAAGCAGTGTTCCTCCACAGTCTCTGCTTCAGTTCTTGCCTCGTTGCTTTCTTGGCTTCCCTTGATGCTGAAATATAAACTGAACTGAAATAAACCCTCTCCTCTCCCAAGTTGTTTTGAGAAAACAAACTAGGACACCGAGAAACTGCTTTTGCAGTTTGTCTCCTGGATCGATCAATATATACATAAAATGGAGAACAATATCATGATAAAATCTTACAATGTGCCCACTAAAAATAGTGTAACCACAGTGACATAGTGAAATCAGTATCTTCTACATTAAAAAAAGATTTTTTTAATTTTTAATTTTTAAGGATTTATTTATTGTATGTGTCTGAATGTTTTGTGTGGTGCTCTTGAAGTTCAGAAGAGGCTATCTGATCCCCTGGAAATGGAGTTAGTTGTGAGCCACCATGTATGTGTTAGGAACTGAATCCAGGTCTTAATTGCTGAGCCAATTCTCCAGTCCTCTTCTACATTTTAACACAACTGTTTTTGGAAGAAATGTATGCACATTGTGTATAATGCACATATATGTGTTTATTTATTTTTAGATAAGTCTCTCAATGTTACTCAACCCGGTCTTGAACTTGAAATCAGTCTGTCTCCCTCTTTCGTAGAGAAGTTTACAGGCATGTACTACCATCTCTGGTCAGTCAGTTTTAATTACAGATACATATTACTGCAAAAGATTCTAATGTCACCTTCACTTTTTATAGCATATAATGTTGGTATTTGTTGACATGCATTTTTTACTTGTTTCAATTTTAGAAAAACCCTGGTTATGTGTTAGGATTCACTTCTTACCTGTGTGAGTCAGAGAAGACCTCATTGGTAGCAGTTATTCATGAAGTATTCTTCCCTGCCCCTGACTGAGTTTAGAGAGTTCGTGCAACCCCATTATGGCAATGAGATAATAGGGCATTCATGCTGGGACGCTTCTGGGAAAGGTTATCTTTTTAAGACAACATTTTTTCTTTAAAGAAATTTCTATCTATTACTATGATGTGTGTGTGTGTGCTTATGCTACAGCATATGTGTGATAGTCAGAGAAAACAGAGAAAACGGTTTGTGGAGTAATTTCCGTCTACCTTTATGTGGATTCTAGGGATTGAACTAAAACCATCAGGTTCTAAGAGACTCATTTGCCTTTGCCTCCCAAGTGCTGGGAGTGTGTGCCACCATGCCTAACCCCTATCCAGATTTTAGATTACTTGATTGATGTGGGGCCACAGTTCTTTGCTGGTTTTATAAATTTAATTTGCAGAATGCCAGGTTTTTTCCTGTGAATGTGAAGGTGTGCCATTTCTGTCTCACTAGAAAGAGCTGGAACTAAATGCCAGAAGTTTTAATTTTCATAGCATTCTTTTTAATTTCAATTTAGGAAGCAGAGACTCAATATGAAGAGCAGATTGCTAAAATTATCATGGAGACACAAGAACTGAAATGGCAAAAGGTAAGTATTCCCCTCCCAGATTACCATCTTCAGCATCTATTTAAACACATTCCAGGGGCTGAAGAGATGGCTCAGTGGTCCAGACCACCTGCTGCTCTTGCAGAGGACCTGAGTAGGCAAAACATTTATACACATAAAATAAAGTAAATATTATATCCTAATATTTACTACAAAATTTTTATATTTTTTACATATATTTGGAGGTAGTGTAGCATTTGAAACATGGGCTCATGACAGTTACCACCAAAATCAATGATATTTGTTGCTTCAGAATTTTTAAGCTTTGTTATATAACATGGAGGACAATTCTGAAAATTTATGATTGTGTCTAACAAAAGTCATAGGAAATTAATGTTTTTGAAAGGTCAAGGCTAAGGTCATGTTGTCGTACGGTGTATCATGTAACCAAATAGAAAAAGTATAAGCTTATCTGTAATCTTATCTTCATTAAAGCATTCATGATAACACTTCTTATACCTTTCCATGAAATAAAGTTAACACCTAAAGAGCAAGGATTAAGTTGATGGTTCCTCTTCTTAGGGGTAATATCTCAGATTAACAATTCAAGTGACACAAAAAGACAAACATGATATGTACTCACTCATATGTGGATTTTAGACATAGAGTAAGGGATTCCCAACCTACAATCCACACTACCAGAGAAACTAGTAAACAAGGCGGACCCTAAAAGAGACAAACTTTGTCCCCTAGAGAAGGGGAAAGGGTCACCATCCCCTGAGCAAATTGAGAACATGGGAAGAGAGAGGGGAGGGAGCTACTAGAATGAGAAGGGAAGAAGAGGAAGGATGCAGTGGTCATGAGGGAGCAGAAAGGTTGAGTCAGGGGAAGAATAGAAGAAAGGATATGTGATAGGTAGGGTTTTAGGGGGGGGCATGGTAGGGGAGGAAGGGAGGGAGAAGGGAACTGGGATTGTCATGTAATTCAATCTTGTTTGTAATTCAAATATAAAAAATTTAAAAAAATATAAAAGTTTTATTAGGCATGTTTTATAAATGATATAATTGTTTAGCAGTACCTGTGTATAATTTATTCATAAGGCTATATATGTTTATATACATATTTTTACATAACCAAAAAAAAACAATTCAAGTTACAGAGTTTAATGTGACTAGAAATTATGGGAAATTTTAAGGTAAGGCTGGCCCACATTGTGGTACAGAATATGGGAGTGAGCAGGGCAGGATTATGTGAGGGACAGATCTACAGTCCTGTCCATAGAGAGAGAAAACCGGTGAATAAGAAGTGCAAATTGAACTATGAGTAGATTTTTAAGTATAAGTTGTGGCTGGTTTCTGAGTTTGTTTGAGACTTAGTCTTGCTGTGTGCTCTGGGCTCAAGGGATCTTTTTACCTTTCTGAGTAGCTGGAACTACAGGTATTTTCAGCTGTCCTGGTCATGTATCTTTTTTTTAGATAGGAAGAATCAACAGTATTTAATGCAGAATAGGAGGGGCTGGAAAGATTGCTCAGCAGTTAAGATCACTGACTGCTCTTCTAGAAGACCCAGGTTCAGTTCCCACTTCCCATATGGTAACTTACAACTGTTTGTAGCTCCAATTCCAGGAGTTACAATGCCCTCTTCTGGCCTCCACAGGTACTAGGCATGCAAGTGGTGCACAGACATACATGCAGGCAAAAAACTAAAACATAAAAAATTTAAATTTAGTAAATCAAAAAATTTAATATAATTCTTTTTAAAATACCAAGAGCATGCTTGGGAGTACTTAGGCTGATTCTGAGGCTTGATAAACATAGAAGAGTAGCCTGGAAAGTGTTAGGGGAATTATGTAGTGGCACTTAGATCCTTAAACATAAATTAAATCTATAAAATAATTAAAATAGGGCCAGTGAGATGGCTCATCTGGTAAAGGCATCCACTGCCAAGCCTGGTGCTTGAGTTCAGTTCTCCCACTCCCCAGCCTGTAACACTCACACACACACACACACACACACACACACACACACACACACACACACACACACAAAGATTTAAAAAGTTAAAATAGTTTTGTTGTATATATCAATACATATTCGATAGATATACCATAATACAATCTAGAAAAAGAGCCAAATACATATGGCAAATTTAATTGATGATAGAATTAGCTTTCAAATCGACAGGAAGAATAGATTATTCAACAAATAGCATTAAAGCTGGATTACACTGGGAGAAAAATAAAGCTAGATTCCTATAGTACTTTACAAAGTTGTATAAATGAAGAAACTGGTCACACTGTTAGCAGTGTGAAAATTACTCTGCTGTGTTGATCAGAATATCATCAAACAACTGGTTAAGAACAACTCATTGTAGTTTGAACATTTTATGATTTCAAGGTTTCAAAAGAGGCACATCAGAAGGAGAGTATGGAGAGGATTTCTGGGTTTAGTCTCAAATACCTTTAGGTACATAATTTTAAGTTGGGGGGTTAATTAGGATTGGAAAGTCTGTGATGTGATGTTTTAAGATAGGTCAGGGTAACAACCTGAGGATCTTGAAGCTGTTTTTGAGAATGAAGCATTGATTTATAAACTAGGTATTTTACTCAAATAAACAAGTAGCTTAAAGCTTTTGCATTGGTCCAAAACAGTGGCAGTTTTATTGTTTTTTTTATGTTTTTATGAAAAACTACTAGGCACAGGTTTCCTGACACAAGAAAAATAGTGTTGATGTTGGTGTTCTCAGAACCTCTTAGTTTTGAATGCTCTGTTCTTTTTTCAAGTTTTTCACTTCTCAGTTCTTCTTCCCTTCTTCATCCTGACCTGGATAGGAGACTTATTATTTAGAATGCAATAAATCAAATCCACACTGTTTTATGAAGTCTTGGTAGCATGTATGATCAATCCTGGAGATGGCTGATTGGCTGATGG